TATTTGGAGACATAAATGCTAATATTATTTGCTATAAACTTGGTCAAACTTGAACTTCTTTGACCGGCACGCATCCCATAATTACATTCTTTTTGGAACGGATTTTGATCCTAACAACCTTAACCATAAGTGGCCAAAACATCTACTTATGGATTATCTACATGATGTTCCTTGCATGCAGCATCCTAGAGAACTGTAGCATCTAGTTTTAAGGACACAATCAGATACACACCATATGTGTGTCCGGAAATTCAATTCACACATATAGTTACAAATGAATGGGTAATATCAAAGACAATGCCTTAAATACATAGCGCACAAATATTTGTTACAAAGGACATAGTCTTACTTTACAGTATATACTAAAACTCTATTCTTCTGGTGAGGCCTCTAACACCACAGAAATCGTTAACTGGTTGATCACAAGCCTAACACTTCTTGAAAAACTCCACTGAAGAACCTCCATCTGGTACCCATCCGGAATTTTGCCAAAATATTGAAATAAAACAAGCGTAAGCTACTACCGCTTAGCAAGCATAATATGAGGGATGCAGGCTCAAAAGGCTTGACACGGTTGAACTGCGATAAACACTTTTAGTTAGTCATATTTTATTATTAATTATAAGTTGCTAAGTTATGCTTAGGCTCCCGAATATGAATAATCAGAGATTTCAACAATTTTAGTCATAACCCAAACCATCCAAGTAACCAACTATTTAGTAAGGATACAGGCCGCTCGTGTCCGTGAGCACGGCTGATATACCAGTTTTACACTCTTGCAAAGGTTGTACACTTTCACCATGAGTCGTGTTGCCCATATGCTTGGGCTAATTACTCCCAAAATACTTTTAAGGTGAGCAGGCAGGGTACCTAGCCTGGTATGCCCTCTTACCCTATCGATAAACTGCTACAAACTAGAAAGAGCAAGGTACCGGACTAAGACCAGAGCCATGTGGTTCTCATGGTTGTACTGTAAGTCCTAGGTTGCCACTTAAAGATGAGTCCTTATGGAGAGAAACTAGAGCACCATAAGAAAAGGCCCAATGCTCTAGCCCCCTTGGTTTCAAAAATATCTTTTAAAAAGTTGCATATCTTTTTAATACCAAGTTGCATATATCTTTAATTGTATTTATTCTATTTACTCAATATTAGTTGAGAGAAAACAACTTGAGAAATTTACGATCGTTTACCCACATGCACAATCACAATCCATAGGTAAATCAAGGACAAGATAATCAATATCAAGGTAAATAGACTCCAAGCGGTTCATTAACATATGCATATGAATTAAGATTTGCATTAAAGTGAATAGGTAACAAGGAGCCTCATATTATATTTGCCTTAATTCAAAGTTTCACTGCTGGTCTTGATCTTCAAAAAGGTTACCCTAGATCACCAACACAAAACTCACTGTCTACTCGGGATCAAACCGCACCATACAGGCACAACAAACAAATATAAGCTAATTAGAACAATACACCAAACAATAAAAATAGAAGTTAAAAAGGTTTTAAAACTGTTCTACGCGATGCTACGGGCACACGGACGCGAAGATCACAAAAATCGGAGCTAAAACGAAAAAGTTATAAATTAAACAAGATTTCCTTTAGTAAAATAATAGATTAAATCTAACCTTGAATTTTAGAAGTTGAAAACATACCTAACAATAGTATTAACATGTAGATTATGAAATTACAAACATAACGCAACTTGAACGGATCAAATCGGAGTTAAAACGGAGATTTTATGGCCTATAGAAGGTAGTGGTAGTTCTGTAATGAAGTGGAACTTGATTTTTGAATTAAAACAAATAAAACCTGATTTTTAAATCTGGCCGAGGACCGCGGGGATTATTAAAAGAAAAGGCGGGGGCCTTTTTAAAGAAACCAGGGACGGCGGGTTAAGACTCAAATAATTATAATGGTTTTTTGCAAATATGCCAACCGAAGGGGTATCTTCTATTTGGGATCGTCCGATCCAGATCGGACGGCTATGATCAAATGGAAGGGAGAGAGAGGTTGGCGGCCGGTGGCGAGCTCCCACGGCGCCTTGGCAGGAGCGGGCGGCGCTCGCGGTTTAGAGCCTACGGACCATCGTTCGATGAACCAAAAGCACGGAAACTAAAGGAGATGACGGCGAGCTCGCCCGGGTACCTTACCAAGGTGCGGAGCGGACGGAGGCGACGTGGCGCATGGCGAGGTGGATGGCAATGGCGGCGGTGCTAGGTCTATGGTGGCTCGGCGCGATGCGAGGACAGCGGCGGCTCCATAGCTCGAGATAGGCGCGGCACGATACTGGCATCCAATTTTTATAGTCGGAAGCGGCTTGGGCGGCACGGCAAGAGGCGTAGAGGAGGCGGACTCGGCGCGGCTTCGACGACAGTGGGGACTCTGGCGCGGACACGGGAGGAAGACGGTGCTGACATGTGGGGCCAGGCCGTCAGCAAGAGAAAAGATGGGAGAACGCGGGCGTGGCTGCGCTGGGCTACTGGGCCGTGACTGGGCCGCTTGCGGGAGGAAGAGTAGGCAGCGTAGGAAGGCAGGGAAGCGGGGCGACTGGGCCTGGGCCAGCAGGCCGAAAAGAAAGGGGTGGAGACTTTCTTTTTTTTCTTTTCTAATTTCAAATAATTTTGAAATACAAATTCAAATCAATTTGAAATTTGATTTCAAATCACACAATACAAAAACAATATGCAGCAGCATGAATGCACATACATGATTGTAAACCTATATTTGATTTTATTTTTAACAAAATTATTATTTTCCTAAATTTAAATGTCACAAAAATGCATAATTAAATCACTTTCTCCTATTTTAAAATTATGCAAATTTTAGGGTGTTACAAGAACTCTGAACTTAGCACCACCATGCACCACCATCGTGGCAAACTATGAGTGTGTTTGGTAGGAATCTAGATTCTAGTAGAAATGTTTAGTCTTACATTTAAGTTGTTCTTCGCTCACAAAACGTTTTAAACTTTTTTGAATAATATTTTCATTTATATGAATTTTATGTGAATCGGAATTCATATTACTAGCCAAATGATTCATTTGAGGCTCTGTCCCTCGTTTTACACTCGCTGTCATTGGTTGGAGGTCTCTTCTTTTTTCTCTCTGGTGAGGCTGCTAGCGGAAAGGAGGAGACATCTCATCTCTCATTTACAGTTGAGCAACTTTTTTAAGTTTAGTTTGCTGGAATTAATCTAAATAAATCTAAGAAGTTATTGTTCAGGGAGTCGCTTTCATTAGCAGGAGGATAGTTTGTGGTTACTACCTGCAAAGGCAAGGTTGCTCATGGGCACTTCCCTTGTGACGATATTTATATTAACTCCAAGTCATCGACCTTATTGTTGATGCCTATGGAGAATAAATCAAATCAGGAGTCTAACTTGATGGATCAAGGGTTAGTAGGAGTTTTTTTTTTATAGAAGGGTTAGTAAGAGGTTAGCTTGTTACTACATGCAAGGGTAAATGTGCTCATGGGCACTACCCGTAGGCCGTGGCGATATGGATATTAACCCTGAATCATCAACCTCATTGAGTCATTGTCAATGTCGTTGGAGAATAAATCAGGCATCCAACTTGATAGATCAAGGTTTGAAGAAGCTGATCTACAGACTATGTTGTAACCGATGATTTAGTTGTGGATGTTCTTTCATCGATGTAACGCCTTAGAGTCAAAACGACTCAGATCCGCATTGCATACTGTGTGAACTACAGATATCACTAACCCACTTATGTTTCTGTCATCACTTCATGTAGAAAGGTTAAACTAGGGATTGTGATATGGACTTTGAAAGTTTTACATGTTGGTCTACATCCGCATTTAACAACCTAGGCGAGACTAAACCCCCACAATCCCATGTCAACATACTCATGTGTCACTATGGGCTAAATTCAAATTAGATTGGATATCACAATCGATTTGGATCTGTTTCAATTTGGTTATGAAAAATTGGATTTTGTAGCATGTCGAAGCTTATGAGGTTAATCGATGGATTTAATACAATCATTGTATTATGGCTTTAGCGCTCGATTAGACTCAGTTAATCTGAAGTATCGGCTGCATCGACAAAGGTCACTAGAAAAGAGGATAACGAAAGCAAGATAGAATATTGTTTTTTTAAAACTTTATCATGTGTAATTTTGATATGGCATACCAAGTTTGAATATATTCCTCCCCACACACAAAAATCAAAACACTGGCTGTGGTGCAAGGACAATTGTTTGGGCTTGCATTCCATCGACAGCACGTGATATGCACTGGGCACCGCTCGGGCCACATGGACCGGAGCCCTGATCCAAGAAGGACTGCTGCGCTGCGTTCCGATCGTAAAACCGTCTTCTCATATCCCCGCAACTTGACGCCACGTACGACAAGCGTAACACAAAAATTTTAATATCCGAGCGGCACGTCTGGGTACCATTGACCGGCCAATAGGAATGGCTCGCGGCATGGCTTCCCCTATATCTTTTTCCCTGACGCCGAAAAAGAAATCAGGTTTTGGAGATGCTTCCAAAACAGCAGCAGGGCTCGTAAAGTTCGCTTTGGAGGGGTGAAATGGCGGACGGGGTTAAAAGGGGGCGCAAAATACCCTGAAGAAACCGAGAAAACGAACGGTTGGATGGCTCGACGACGCTGGGGCGGGGCGCTGGCGGAAGTGTCACGGGCCTGCCTTGAAAGCTGCATCTCCAAACTTCCAATCCCTCTCTCCAAAACACCCAGACAGACAGAGCGACACATATTCCCCCCCACCACCCCCACCGCCCACACGCTCCCCGAGGTAGGAGCACACCACACTAGCCTCCTTCACTCGTCCACCCCCTCTCTTCCCTTCCCTCCGTATTCACCACCACCGGCACCACCACCTCCAGTTAAAATAGCCGGGTCACCCGCTCCGCTCGCCTCGTATCGTCCACCACACCTCAGAGGGAAGAAGTTAAAACCCCAAGAAACCTTCGTCCACGCTTCGGCTCCTGTAGGAAGGAGGGAGAGAGAGAGATGGAGAGGTGCGGGAGCTGGGACTGCGATGCGGCGTCGCAGGCGGCCGCGCAGAAGGCGGTGCCGGCGCCGTTCCTGACCAAGACGTACCAGCTGGTGGACGACCCGGCCACGGACCACATCGTCTCCTGGGGGGACGACCGCGTCTCCACCTTCGTCGTGTGGCGCCCTCCGGAGTTCGCACGCGACATCCTCCCCAACTACTTCAAGCACAACAACTTCTCCTCTTTCGTCCGGCAGCTCAACACCTACGTGAGTTGCACTTCGCTCGCTTAGATTGAGCCACGAAGTGTTGGTAGTTGTGGTTTCTTGATGGTGACGACGGTGATGTTGCAATGCACAATGCAGGGCTTCCGGAAGGTGGTTCCGGAGCGGTGGGAGTTCGCGAACGAGTTCTTCCGCAAGGGGGAGAAGCAGCTGCTCTGCGAGATCCACCGGCGCAAGACGTCGACGTCCACGGCGTCGCCGTCGCCCCCGCCCTTCTTCGCGCCGCCTCATCACTTCCCGCTCTTCCACCCGGGCGCCCCGTACCACCACCACCAGTTCGACGACGGGGTCGTGGCGGCGGCCGCGCACGCAGGCGTTGGCCTCCCGTTCCCGCACCCGCATTGGAGGGAGCCGCACGCCGCCGCCGCGCCGGTGGCCGCCACGCGGCTCCTAGCCCTGGGCGCCCCTCCTCCGTCGCCGTCGCCGTCGCCGCTGCCCGCCGCCGACGCCGGCGGCGGCGGCGGAGGCAACAACGCGGGGCGCGCGGCCACCGCGGCCGTGCTGATGGAGGAAAACGAGCGGCTGCGGCGCAGCAACACGGCGCTGCTGCAGGAGCTGGCGCACATGCGCAAGCTCTACAACGACATCATCTACTTCGTGCAGAACCACGTGCGCCCCGTGGCGCCCAGCCCGGCCGCGGCCGCGTTCCTGCAGGGGCTCGGCCTGCAGGCTGCTGCGCGCAAGAAGCCCGCCGCCGCCGCCCCCGTGTCGGCCGCGGGCCTCAACCACTCCGGCGGGAGCACCACGTCCAGCAGCTCGCTCACCATCGCGGAGGAGCTCTCGCCGCCTCCGCCGCAGCAGGCCAACAAGAGCGGCGGCGGCGAGGAGGCCGGAAGCAGCGGCACCGCGCGGTCTGCCGCCGCCGCGCCGCCTACCATGCTCTTCGGCGTGCACCTCAGCGCCGCCCCGAGCGGCGCGGGCGGCACCAAGAGGCCAGCTTCCCCGGAGGAAGCAGACCAGCCGCCCACGTCGCCTGCCAGGAAGCCACGGCTGGCGCTGGACGGCGCCGACCTAAGCCTGACCATCCCGGTGCCCTCCGCCGCCTCGTCCCCAGTTAGCACTAGCTAGTCGGCTACTCAGTACTCACCTCGCGCAAAGCAGATGCGTTTGCATGGTGGTGCATGCAACGGCGGGGCGGCCGTTTTGTTGTTCTAGCTCCAGTTCGAACGACGTGTTCCGTTTCAGCTGGTAGATCTGATGGGTTCTTTCGTTGATGTGTCTAGTAGTGTCTTTCGGTGATTTAGGGTTCCTGCTAGACGTCGTCCACTAATTGCACTGCCGTGCCCAAGCACTCGCGACCATTAATCCAAGCCAAGCAAGTTTTTGTACAGAAGTAGTCGCAGTCACTCGAGCGTGAAGTACTCGTAGTCGTAGGTCTAGGTCCTAGCAGCAGCTCAGGTATTCTGACGATGCTGCTGCTAGCTATTCTTCTGAAACGAACAGGCTGCTGATGTCTCCAGCCCAGCCAGGGCGAGCAATCTTTTGAGCGACGAGTCCGGAAAGAGATCTCTCCTTCCTCGTTGCCTTTTGCGTGCGCCCATGGGAGTCAAAGATGTGAAAGGCAGTTACAGCTGCGCCTGCTCGCAATCGCAGTCGCAGCTCACATGTCACAAAGTGACGGGTCGATCGGACTGCCGACTAGAGAGTAGAGAGTACATGTTGGGTAGAGCACGATGCCGATGCGTGCGTACAGTCGTGCTTCCGGGCTGCCGCGGCCGCAGCACAGTACTACTCCCACGCAGTCATCAGCTAGTGGTAGCCCTAGCTAGCTATAGCTATCTGTAGCTGTGGGTAGCTGCAGTAGACTGTCCGTGCGGGAGAACCGAGAGAAGGGCAGCGCGTCATGATTATGAGGCGACTGGCGCCAGATCTTCAGAGCGAGGGTCTAATCCGGAGCCGGAAGCGTAAAGACCGGCTAGCTTCGCTTCTCTCCGGGTGGGGTGGGTGGTGCCTGCGAACGAGTGGGATGGGATGGGATGGGATGGGATGGCTTGAATGCAGCTGCTGCGTCATGTGGTGTGTGGGGGTGGGCTGGCTGGCATTGGGCTCTGTTTCTTCTACTGGCTTCTGCCGCTGTGCATGGCTGCAAGCTCCAGCAGTGCAGCACACGAGCAGGCAGGCAGCCCCGCGGGGTTCCCACGATATTCCGAAAATCCAAAAGGGACTTCCGTTCCCTCGGAACGTGATAGTTCTTCCAGATTCCCCCGGCACGCAGCATGCAGGCCGAGGCCCCACATGTCTACGCGTCCCGCCTCCAGTCTTCTCGCACCAGTTTCCTCGTTTTAATTTAAGGCGTGTTTAGTTCGGAAATTTTTTGGTTTTGGCTATTGTAGTACTTTTGTTTGTATTTGACAAAAATTGTTCAATTATGGACTATTTAGGCTTAAAAGATTCGTCTCACGATTTCTCGGCTAACTGTGTAATTAGTTTTTTTAAATCATATTCAAGATCTTTCGCATGTCCGCAAAGATTCCTCGTTTTTAAAAAAATTTGGATTCTGGGGGAAACTAAACGGGGCCTTAACCAAACACCATTTAATATTGATATTTGCTGATAGACACCACTACTTGATCTTGTTTGCTGCTCCGTATAAGATTTTTAATCATTATAGTAATTACCTTAGACACTAAAACTATTATAGTAATAATTTTTATTAGTGAAGAAGAAGAGAGAAATTAAAAGTGACTAAATATTACTTAACACTTAATAGCAGTGGCAGAGCTTCATGGCAAATGTAGGAGGAGACAAGCTTTGGCCTTTTTTAGTTGCACCCCAAAATGCTAAATTTTTCGAGATTCCCCGTCACATCGAATATTTGAACGCATGCATGAAGCATTAAATATAAATAAAAAATAAAACTAATTACACAGTTTAGACGAAATCCACGAGACGAATCTTTTAAGCCTAATTAGACTATGATTGGACACTAATGGCCAAATAACAACGAAAACGCTATAGTAGCGTTTTGCCAAAAATTTTGACATCCAAACTGGCCCTATGTAAACTTCAGTGACAGAGATTCATAAATTTACACTTTTGGAGAGAGAGTTCTATTAAGCATTTTTTAGTATAGAATTCCACAAATGTGGGTGTATAGAAAATACAAGGTCATTCTAAACTCCTCATGCTCTCAATTTTGAATCCAAACCAGTAAATACGGTTGGTTACGAGTATGAATATATGTCTTCGTTGACCAGTTGTCTAGGAATGAAATTTGACGTTTTAATGTAACAGAAACGAACTAAAAGTTATATGGCCATGTGGCTGTGTCTATATGCAATTATACTAGCCTATCATTGGGTTTTTATACTTGAGTAACACATTTTTTATGATCACAGTTGTGTTACGGAACACATGGTCATCATTCGATTTCGAATCTTAGAAAAAAGAGCACACATCAACACAACATATATGCCTACATTTGTGGGGTTTATACTAAAAACCCATAGGTCCTAAACCTTTACAAAGGCCATGACTATGTTGAATCATGATGTTACCAAATTATTGAATTCAATTTTTTCTTAGAAAAGTGCATGATTTTGCGATGAAGCTAGAATTGATTTCTCAGGTGTATAAACTTATATAGGGAATCATTAACTATATCGGCAATAGAAAAGAATAGTTATATATGATCACATCTATGTGTTCCTATTCTACCTTGGTTGCCACCTTTATAATTAAGTAATGCCATTTCTATGATCACACCTCTACTGTATGTGCAATCACACAAACTTGTCATGATTCAAATTTTCTGAAAGTGCGTCTAGGCCACCTAGTGGGTTTTGGTGGTTGAATAATGTGGCAGAATCGTCCGAAATAACACATTTTTGGAGACGCTCGTCTTCCACTGGACACTCAACACCTCGAAAGGGAGCTACATCGGACAGTTCCGTTGAGCACACCCCAAGGGAGAACTCGAAACAATCCACGTTTTATATTCAGAATCCAATAACGAGTACGAGCTTACAATACTTAGTCCATTTCATACAAGAAGAGTTCTTAGAAATTATTTATTACAATATCAGAGTTCAGAGTGCGATAATTAAACAGCGGAATGAAAATAAGCATCTAGCGGAAATGATACAAGGATTCGTCTGTGCCCACCAGAAGAATCCTCCACACAAGAGCTACTCCTCAAGTTGCACCTGCAACAGGGGTAAAATAAACCCTGAGTACACAATGTACTCGCAAGACTAACCCAACTAGTGGAAATAGTTTCCCGACTCCAAGGAGTATGATAGGCAATATGGGTTTGCTGTTTTCTTTTTGTTTACGAAAAGCATTACTAATAGTTTGACCTAACAGTCTAGTTTTATTATCAGTCATGATTACTTCATTAGATAATCATTCTAGGTAAGAACATGTTCTACTTTCAAGTAAGGGTTGAGCCATCAGAACCATTTTATCATCTTTCATCTTCCAGTTCTTACTACGGTGCTAGACCATAGCCAAGTCGTACCGACACACGGAAACGACGATTCGCGAACCAATGTATCCCAGCTGGGTACCCTAAAACACACGCCCCATTTGTACCCCAGGCACAAACAAGACTGTAAGTGCAATCAAGCCCTATTGTGGGTTTTGGCATTGATGACCACCAAATTAGAGGACTAATGAGATTTATCGAGATGACAAGCAGGGAATCAAAAAATGAGAATGATGTACAGGTTGCAGGTGTCCTAATTACAAAAGGTGTCCAGACCTAGCTCAAAGGAAGTTTAAATTCTTTTATGTTTTAAACTTGAGTTTAGGGAAAGTCGTATTATAAAGAGGGATTTTAGGACAATTGGTCAACTGTTGAACCAGATGCTCAAATTCTCAGATTTACATCCTCTTACCTAGTCAAAACAGCCACCCTAATTTTACCTCAACTTACCTGTTTTGGCTAGGGCGACAGTGCCGCCCCGTTAAGAGCGGCAGTGCCGCCCTTAACTGACCGTTGGACCCAAAGGGTATTTATACCCTTCAGACCTAGCCCACAACGGTCATCTTCTTCACTGAGTCATTCTGCTCGAAACAAGATAGAACCAAAGCTCACTTCTTTCCTCTATTGTTGCTCCACCATCCCTCAAGCAAATCCTTGATTCCAACCATCAAAACTTGAGAGAAAAGGCAGCAAAACTCGATTAAAGAGCAGATCTACTGATTCCCAAAGTCTAAAAGCATTTGGTTCACGTTTGGCCGATGATTGTAGGGTTTGTTACTCTTGGAGCTTGCTTCTAGCCAGCTAGGCGTCGCCCTTGAGCTTGCCAACTCGTGTGGCAGCCTTGGGAGGTTTGTAATCTCATTCTCGAAACTAAGAAATCACCTCTCACTTCAAGAGTTCATCCTCTTGACTTGAGAACGAGGGTAAGGCAAGCCTTTGTGGCTTCCTCAATAACGTGGACTTAGGCAAACCATTGTGGTGGGTTGAACCACGGGATAAATCTTGTGTCTTGCGTGCTTCATTTTGTTTACTTGCTGGTTTAGCTCATTGCTAGCTATTGTTAGGGTTTGGTTGCTCGATCCACTCTTGTATGGAGTTTCTGTGGTATTCAGTCTTCAAACTGGATCTTGTCTTTCTATTGCAGGATTAGCAGCTAGTGGGATCAGGTTCATCTCAGTAAAATCTCAGATGTGTTAGATTTATTTTTGAAGAGCGGTAGTGCCGCCCTGAAAGGCTGGCAGTGCCGCCCTCTGTTCTAACAGAGTGTTGAGTTGAATTTTTACAGGCCTATTCACCCCCTCTAGGCCTCCTTTATCTTCTTGTAGATCCTACAAAGACAAACCCATTCCAGTCTTGTCATGGGGTCTAGGTCCCCGTCCAAAGTTGGACTCTAAGCCCCCACACTTGAGACCTTGTCTTAGTATGGTGCTTAGACCTGCATCTTTCCCCGCCTCCAATCAGTCGGTTCGGAAAGAGCCAGAACCCACGATAAGAGCGTAACGAGCCTTCCCGCTCCCATAAGCAAGTATGTGCTCAGGATAATAAGTCTGTGACCTGACTATCATCCACAGCAACGGATAGTCCTTAATCAACACGAATAGGAAAAACAGTGTAACCAAGTTAAGCCCCGTTGGCCGCGGGA